AAACTGAGGAACACTGGGTAACTGTTTTCTCACTTGGAAACTATTTGGCATAACGCACCATGTGAGGAACCCAGGATTATTATCATTGCTATTATCTATATGGTTTACAATGTCTAATATCTGTCAGTAACCATTACTGGCCAACACAATGTATAAATAATATGTGGTTATGAATATAAAAGTAGACAAACTTTAAGGAGATCTAACTGAAAGAAATATTTCTTCACGTGTCTTCTTTCAGTTCTAACAATGTAGGTTTTCAATTTTGAGGATTTCGTACAATTTTCTTATAATCTCTAACATTCACTCAAACGGGGTAATGTCATGTGAAAACTCCACAGTTATCAACTTCATTCATTCCAGGCACTCAATACAAACTGTTATTCAAGAGTCACATTTAACATACTATGGAATTCAGCTCATTAACGGGCCAGCAAATTTGATTCGTACACCATATGCTACTAACGTTTTTGGAAGTAGTCGGCTTAGTTTTAGTTATCACCAGTAGGCCTGTTTCAATGTATGGTGAATCTAAACGCTCTACTGAAACGTCTTCAATGAATTGAATTGTGTGAAGGAAACTGAAGCAAAAATTTTCGCTTTTCCTATGCAGTGATCATTTCTACTGGCCAAATCATTACCGAATAGTCTTTTATTACTTATCTCCATTTCTCATTAATTATACTGTCTTTGTCGACTAGTATTTCGAAGGTGAGCTGCAGTAGTGTAGCAGTAGGAAAGTCAGTCTAGTCCTAAGGATAACATTGGTCACTGTCGAATCACAGCACTCCAAGTACCTATCTGTTGTCCACAATAATGAATTAAAGGTGGATTTAAACAACTTATAATTCTCCGTTTGATAATATTAGTAGCCAAATGTTCATTTTCGACACGCCAGTTTGTTACCTTGTACTAATGACCAATATCTATGGTCGATTAGATCACTTCATTGATGGTTGTATTCAAGTTTGTATAATTATTTTGATATTTGAGTCGTCACCGTTATCTTTTAGAATTTCTTTACGTTCCCAGTGGAACATTGGGCTTCAATCTAGAGCTTTGAAGTGTCAGTAGCAGTGGTTTTATTTCTAATATTATCTTAATTATGTGCATCATCTCTACTACGTTTCAGTCAATGGGATGATTAACAGAGAAGTCATCTTCCATATCTTCTTATAACTAATCTATTCACTACTTTGTGAATGAATTCCTATAGATAACAACTAGTGAAGTCACTTTGAATATAACTGCTTCCCTTCAATTAGTTTGTACTTTTGCGGTATAGACATCTAGGATGATTTGTATCTGACTCGACAGGTTATATAGTGCCTCAAACAACTTCACAGCTCTTAACAATTCAAACATTACTGTTTCGCTGTCGCCCAGACAACTGATAGTCAAAACATACACCTCGTTCAAGTATGGAATTCCGAGCAGTTCACGATCATCTAGATGTTTCAATAAAATTACAAACAAACAGATATGTAATCCCTAATCTCCTTCGTAATATCATTAGTGTTTATGAAGAAGAATAGTGATTTGATAAGTAAAGTCAGATTTGTTATTTTGACGATGGAAACTAATTTTGTGTCAAATACTTGAAACTATGTCATCCGAAGATAAACACGTCGTTACGAATAACATGCTACTGAGTACTGCTTTCACTATCCCATCAAGTGTGGTCGCTATTGAGTAGGACACAATATCAGTTGAGTGGAAATGATAGTCTAAATTTGTTTCCGTGGTTCAGAATCCATACAAAGTTTCAAGTAGTACTGATTTTCAACATTCAGAGGATAGCTGATGCCACCTGACCGACTGGAAATTACCTAGTTGCGTGATGTCCTCCTAATTTCCCGATAAAGTGTAGCTCTCATTCTCCATACTGAATGCTTTCCACTGAAACCGTTGAAATATAGGATATCTAAAGTCAACGTCATGCTACATTCTTGGCGAAAGCCTTCTTGAGTGCAGTAGTACTAATGACATAGATCAACCATGTCGAAATATATCTTCAAATTGCTAAACAATATAATTTCACTCTGCGTCAGGCAATTATAATAAAATTAATACATGATACCAATTTGTTTATGTAACACAAAAATTACTTTGTTGAATGATCGACTCAGTATTCCAGTACCCATGTTGACAGCCTGTTTGATACAATAACCGCCAGTCACTATACACCAATGAGAGCGACAAATAAGTGTGAGGAATGCACGACAATTTACAGTGGAAATCTGCTTAAATTTCTTTCAGATTCAGAAGCTGCAATGAACAGATCAGTGGTTACTCAGGTGAGACATAATCAGACATATCTTCCAGGTCGTTAACGTTATTTACGTGTTAGTGTCTTATCTTCAGACAGTTTATTCAACCTAATAATGAAATGGCTTCATTCTACTGAACAAAATATTCATGTTGCTACCCATTTGTGCAGACAATTCACACCAAAACATGCATAACACAAATGAAATTAGAATAATAATGTGAAATCAGTGGAGAAGAAAGCAAAGCAAATTGAACTTGTGACCGGAATTGACTTAGTGAATACTGAACACAAGGTGTTCCACTTGCATAAATCTGTTTGTGCATGCATGTTTCATGTTAGAGAAGTGGTATGGTGAGTGAATGATGTGAATCACATGAATTTCGCTGAGTGAATGAAGCAGTAGAGACACAATTATACTTGAGCTGACTTGTGCAGTATTCACGAGACTCTGAACACACAAGTGATGAGTTTCCAATCTCTAATTATCTCAATGATCAAATGAAATTTCCAGAATGACACTACAAGTTACAGAGTGATATGAAATGCTTTCGACTAATTGCAGAAGGAAACGAATCGTGCATCATGATAAGTAATGATTCAATTTTCGTTCGTCAAAGTATGAATAACGTTACTCTAACTAAAGTCAACACATACACACACATGTATACGGGGATATACCAAGACATGGTTTATGGGAATAAGTGACAATGTTCACCCCAGATTAACACTGCATCACCACTCAAGTCCAATATGATAGTATGGTACCTAATTCTATGTCGGACGTTAGTTTAGCAAATAAACTTTGCCCACCAAACACTACCGTGACTGACAACCTGTATGTCTGGGTCTTCCTTAATCAACGTGTTCATAGAATTACAACCATAATGAAGTTTCACAATTTGCAGTAATCCCGTAGTGAGTCATCGAGTTGATGAGTGAAGGCAAATGAATTTTTCTGGGGCTTTGTGATACAGGAGACTTTGTCTATTTCATTACACTGTAAATGCTTCACAGCTTGTATTATTGAATCTGTATGTGAAATATGAAACTCTCCCCAATTCAAGTTAATATGTTGATGAGATGATGTATGGAAAGTCTAAATCGAAGCGATTATACCTCAAGTCTTATGAGAAGATCATAGCACGGAACAGAATGCTCAGTAGGTACAGATATCTTCCTTCACCAATAAAAATAGGTATTCCTATTATATTTAGACAAGCCTCCAAGAAATTTGTCCTACTACATAAACTGTAGAAACGGCATCAGTCATACAAGTCCCCAATCTCATCACTGAACCTGACCTAACTTAGCTAATCGAGGGACAGCAATATTGAGCAAAAGGAGAGGTAAGTTAATTTGTCAGTGTCTGTACTAAGAGTGGGCACCGCGCGTAGCATCTTTTCCTACCGAGCCTCCAGAAAAGATAGGTATTTGGTTGGAAGAAGTACTTGAAGCCTTAAACAAACTAAACTTATGCAGTCAAAATGATTCAAAATCACAGTCATTTTCACTTCATTAATTCTATCCATGGTTTCTAAAGGAGATGATATTTCAAACAGCCAGTTTGTTTACATTTTTCATCAAGTTATCTCATAAAGACTGAGAATTACTACTGAACTCTATGCACCCGCGAAATACTATTCAAAATATAAGTCCATTAGTCTTACCAGCTCTCTGATTAAGATATATTGATGAGTAATTCAGAAAGCTACAATGGCTTCCGTGGATAAAACTGACTCATTATTCAACGCAAAACATAGTTTTTGGAAAACTCAGCCCGTCTGACTACTCTTTCGATGTCAGTGTGTCGTGTGCTACATAGATGCAGATTGATAAAAAGAGACCAAAAATTGAAATCAACATTTCAAATCAATGGCCACAGAGGTAAAAGTGTTCACTCCTCAAATCTGGGTTTCGTTTACGTTGCGGTCTGGAAATGACCTCATTTGACAACTTCTCTGCCCTCTTTTTAACCTTGGACTAATCACCAACCAGCTGTAACAGTTTATTGTCTTCTGACCAAGCCAATATTAAACTGTGTAGATATGATTCATTTTACCGCAATAAAAAGTCCATTACTACTGTTATCATATGCCATTACAGCAGGACATAGCTAACTCAAGTTTATAGATAATAAGAAACTTGTCGACATAGTCTTTACAGATCTAAGTAAGGAAATTGATCACAAACAGTCAACGTGATCTTGATGAGAGCCTAGAGGTAATGAAAATGCAATTTCGATACACAGCAGTCTACTCAACAAGAGACTTAGGAACCTTCCGAACTACTCACTGTCTGTCTAAGACTGGTTGGTTGCCTACTCAGTATTTTTTTCTAAAATGTCTACATTTTGACCCATTTTGATGACTACAAAAAGACCAAAGTTACAACACGACAGTCAAATAACCAAAATGATTCATAATACGATGCATAAAAATTAGGTAGTGTGAGGATAACATTCTTGCAACAATGATACTAGTGCGAAGACAACTGATTAAAGTCATTGGAAACAACCTCTTATACGTCCGGACTAAATCTGAAATAGAAGCAACTAATCCCTCCAGGTACGAAACGATCTTGTGAAAACAGTGCATGATATTCTTCTGGGTAATGCCTCCACAGAATATGAAATATTTTGATAGCGAGACTACTGCGCATCCGTTGGCCCTCTGGAAGGTCCCTTGTTAGAATTAGAAGTTTTTCGAGACGTCATTAATATTCTATCATGTTCAAATTGCAATTTTTGTTTTGTTCAGGATCTTTGTTGTAATTTGGTATTCATGCTTTCCGATTAATGTCTTTGATTTGTGGTTTATTTCTTGTAAATACTCTCAGTCTTGAGATAATATTTTATCGTTATAAAGTACTGTTTATCGGGATGAACATCGTCTGTGTCATATTAAGGTAGATTGCATCTAACAACCTACATCATCAGTAAAGTTACAGCAAGACAGCCGTTTGATCTGCATCTGAAGTTTATCAGAGATGAATGACCGTTTCAGGAAACGAACTGTATGAATTCTAGAGTTGCAAAGGTGCTCGTTAGAATTATATTGGGTATTGGATTACTGCGAGTTTTAATAGCTGCGTTACAACATGGGGAAAGCTAAGCAGACTAGAAAGTTCGCTGCAATGAAGCGAATGATATCTTTAAAAGACTCACGAATGTATTGAAAAAATTATGTAAAATATACGAATTCTAGAAAAAAGTGTGATCAGTTCAAGAAGATTACGCCTTTCAAGCAAGAGTCATCCCATCATTTGTCAGTTAAACACAATGTAGAAGTCTTCCCTTGTCTCAAAGATTCATACAACGAAGCTCTTGGACCTCCTTACCATATTCTTTTGGATACCAACTACGTCAATTTTTCCATTAAGAATCGATTGGACCTCTTCAAATCAATCATGGATTGCTTATTAGCAAAATGTAAGCATGTCTTCCTTCGGTTCTGATGATTAGGTTTCCTGTATGTTACCGACTGCGTGATGGGAGAAATAGAGAAGATGTCAGAGAGATACCGGGTAGCCTTAAAGTAAGCGAATGACGTATTATTCATGATGGTGTAGAATTCTCCGTGATGAAAGGATTCAAAGGTTGACTTGTCAGCATAGAGGTACATATGCAGATGATTGTCTAGTAGAGCGCTGCAAATCCCGCTGCTACATAGTAGCCACTTGTGACCGAGATCTACGACGTCGCATTAGAAAGATAACAGGCGTCCCAATAATGTACATCCATGGTCACCGTGTTGTCATTGAAAAAATGCCTATGGCTCTTGGAGCACCGAAGTTATGAGATTGTTATTATAAAGTATGAAACTTGTAAATAAAGCTTAAATTTTTCTGATCTATTTGTTTTTACTGCTGCGTAAAGGTTTTAATTATTCAAAAGTAAATTATAGAAAAGGTTGGTGTGATTGTCCTCATAGTATGTGTAATGCCGTATTATCTTTATATGATTGTCAGTTACTATTTCACATTTCTTATACCAGCAATACGGTTGTTTTTCATTGGTTTGAGTGTTCCAGTTCGGAACACTGAATTATGGCTCCAACATTGCCGACCCGACCGAAAGCTGCTACCTTGACGTGGTGGTCGGGCTTGAACACTGCAATGACCCAACAAGCTATACTGGCTGGAACTTATGTTCCTGCAGGTCCTACCATGCCAGAAAGGTTGTTTGGATAGCAGTTAGACTAAAAGCAGTTACCCAATCCAATCCTATGATTTCAAATAAATCACAAAATTTCATGCCGGATCGGCCGGGGCCCGGATTAACAACGACCGCGCTTTCTGCTGCCGTGTCACAGGGCAGAAGTGAGAAATACGCTACTGAGACACACCAAATAAAAAAGAACAAACAAAAACAGGCCGTGTGTGACCGGCCTCAAGCAGTTGTCCCCTGGGCTCTGCGGTCACGCAACCAACTTCCACGGTGTGGGCAGCCGGGAAGTACCAATCGCCCTCACAATCCGAAGTGCACGCGAAACCCCTCTAATCCTCGCTCATCTTTGTCTTCATCTTCATCTCTATTATCTTGCCCTCCTTCTACCAATGCAACTCCTCTACTTGTTGGCTCTTCACTTCCCCTTCACTCTGTGTGCACTGATAACGATGGAAGCCAAAAAGCCACCACCGATTGTCTCCTAAAACCACGCCACCAATTTTATATAGGAGCATTTAATGTTAGGACACTCTGCCAAATAGGACAACAAGCATCTCTAGCCAAGACTCTGGCATCCCGAGCCATTGATGTATGTTGTGTTTCAGAAACACGCATACAAGACCCAAGTGTGGTTATTCACCTAACCCCACCTGGCCAACAGGATGAATCTGCAAAATTCACCTTGAGGGTGTCAGGAGATGCGACGGCTAGCTCACGAGGATTAGCTGGTGTTGGGATAGCTTTAAGTACTAGAGCAGAAAAGACATTACTTGACTGGATCCCGGTAGATAGCCGAATGTGCGCTGTCCGCCTGAACGGATCAGTGAAAAGGAGAAAGGACTGCACTACTCGCCGATGCCTTTTCGTAATCTCCGCCTACGCCCCCACTGACTGCAGTTCGGATGAAACGAAGGATGAGTTCTACCAAAAGCTGTCTAGTTTGCTGCGAAAGGCTAGACGCTCAGATATAGTCGTTTTAGCTGGTGACTTTAATGCTCAAGTAGGGAAATTGTGTCAATCTGAGAAGAATGTTGGTGGCACATACGGAATTCCGTGCCAGCGAACCGACAACGGTGACCGTCTCCTACAGTTCTGTTCAGATAATAATTTGTTTCTTGTAAGCACTAACTTCAAACACAAGGAGAGACACTGTTTGACCTGGCGACCCCCATCATCAAATCAACGCTGGACACAAATAGACCACATAGCAATAAGCTATCGTTGGCGTGGGTCGGTAGGAGATTGTCGCTCCTTCTGGAACACGTGTGTAGATACCGATCACGCACTGGTCCGCGCTCGTGTGTGCTTACGACTGAACGGACGTAGGAAACAGCGAGCGGTAAACCCATCACGTCCCCAGCTCGACCAGGGAACTAAGTCCCTATTTGAGGAAGAACTAGCTAAACACATATCTGAGTTTGACAGCTGCGCTCACCCTGAAGAAGCCTGGAAGAATATTCAGTCAGCCATAGATACAGCTGTAAAAGCTGTGAATAAGGTAATTCCAAAGGTGAGTAAAAACCACTGGATTTCGACTGCCTCATCCGAACTGATAGATGCTAGAAGACTTATTCCGGCGAGCTCCGAATTCAATGAGGAGCGAAAGCTGCACAAGAGGAAACTTACGAAAAGTCTCCGCAAGGACCGTGAACAGTGGTGGTTGACTAAGGCGAAAGAGATGGAAAAAGCATCGGCGATAGGCAACACCAGACAACTATTCAGGCTTATCAGGGAAACAGGTGGTAAAAGGCAAATGATAAGCGAAACAATCTCCGAGAAAAATGGCACCATAATTAGCTCCCAAGATAGACGTCTGGAGCGCTGGAAAGAACACTATGAGGAGCAGTTTAATTGGCCCACAGCCACACTTAACCTACCGGACATCCAACACCTCCCTGAATGGGAGATAGACACAGGTCCTCCGTCCTTAACTGAGGTTACTAAAGCTGTCACCAATCTGAAGCTAGGCAAAGCAGCAGGACCTGATTTATTGACTCCAGAGGTATTTAAGTACGGAGGCGACAGTTTACTGTCTGCGTTAACGGAGGTTCTAGGCAACGTCTGGGAATCAGAGGAAGTCCCATCGGGTTGGTGTAAGTCACTGATCATCCCGATATACAAGAAGGGGGACAAGTCGTCTTGTGATAATCACAGAGGGATTAGCTTGACTAATATAGTATCTAAAATCCTAGGCTCAATAATACTGCGTAGACTAAGTGGTGCTCGGGAGACACAAACACGAGAAAACCAGGCAGGTTTTAGGCCAGGTAGAGGGTGTATTGATCACATCTTCACCCTTCGACAGATTCTAGAACATAGGCACTCCTACCGGCGTCCGACAATCATTATATTTCTTGACCTAAAGGCGGCTTTCGATTCTGTCGACCGGGAGGTTCTCTGGCGATGCTTGGCTGTAAAGGGAATGCCAAGAAAATACATTGCACTGATTAAGGCACTCTACTCATACTCATGCAGCCAGGTGAGGGCTTATGGCGAGTTGTCATCTGAAGTGGTGACGACTAGTGGCGTCCGTCAAGGATGCCCATTATCCCCATTCCTATTCAATTTCATCATAGACGTACTAATGGATTTAACCCTATCACACTTCAGCGACTCAGGGATTGACTTGCTACCAGGGAATAATCTCGTTGACTTAGAATATGCGGACGATATAGTCCTTCTAGGCGAGGACTCTGACAAAATGCAGAGTCTACTGAACACCCTGAGCAACAATCTCCGCATGTTTGGCATGCGATTCGCCCCTATAAAATGTAAGATGATGCTGCAGGATTGGACTTCATCGACCCCTAGATTAGAAATAGGAAGGGAAGTGGTAGAACACGTTGACCGCTTCAATTACTTGGGAAGTACCATCAGCCCCAACGGGTTGATCTCAGACGAAATCTCAGCACGAATACAGAGGGCTAGGTTCGCATTCGCCAGTTTTCGCCGTCTCTGGCGTAGACGCGATATCCGACTATCGACCAAAGGGCGTGTGTACTGCTCAACAGTCCGCTCCGTCCTCCTTTATGGCCAGCTGTGAGACCTGGCCATTGAGAGCAGAAGACATGAAAAGATTAGCTGTCTTCGATCATAGGTGTCTGCGTTCTATCTCCCGCGTGAAGTGGTATAATAAGGTGAGCAATATTGAGGTTAGGCGTCGAGTGCTAGGTAAGGCGGGGAAATCAATCGACGAGACTGTGAAATTACTTCGACTGAGATGGTTAGGACATGTGCTACGTATGCCTAGTCATCGCCTTCCTCGACGGGCAATGTTAGCTGATATAGGGTCAGGCTGGAAAAGAGCTAGCGGCGGTCAAACCAAAACATGGCACCAATCAATGAAATCCACAACAGTTAATCTAAGTCACGTAGGAAGATGTAGACTTCCTGGTTGGGGCCCTCGGGATGGTAAAAACCAATGGTTGGAAACAATTGGTGACATGGCTCAAAATCGTTCTCAGTGGCGCAGATGCATCCACTCCTTGTGACTTATGATTTCCAATTAAACTTTTGTTCTCCGTTATTACTATTCCTTTGTCTCACACCCCTGTTTACTGTCTATATTATGCATTTCTTCTACTTTCTTCTCTTCCTTTGCGTGCTACATGGAGTGTGGCGACTTGAACTGCCGCACATATGTGCAAAGTTCTATGTCGAAAACAGACAGACAGACAGACAGTTTGGGGAGCTACGTAGTGAAGTTCCCACACATTACGTTTCTCATTATGAATCTTATGTAAGTGAAAGCAGTGGTTGAACAACATTTCTGATTTGTTGTTCTGAGTGTGGTTTTATACATGATTGAAAAACCTAACTTGTGGAAGGATTGGTGAAGGTTCTTAGCATTTACATAGAACATCAATCCATGTTGCTTACATTTTTTATTAATGGGGAATTTCACTTTTCTAACATCTGAATAAGTCGCAAAGTTTCCTGTGATTAAGGCATTCCACCAAAGCATATTTATTTTGAAAAAACATATCACGTTTGTGTTGATGAGGTAAATTCTAGGGACTTACCTCTTTCAGGCCATCAGTAGTATTTTGATATAACGGTAAGTTAAATCAACAATTGAAGAATATAATGTATATGCACTAGAATTTGAAGGCTATAGGAGGTTGCAGGACAAGTGGTTTATTAAATAATGGAAGCGACGGATAATCCTGTCAATTACGGAATATTTAATAGCTATATAAAGATAATTGGAGATGAAGAGGGATAAATGATATTTCGGAAACGGCTGTAATAATACTAACACAGGCTAGTGGTCGACCCTCATCTATGCACATCATAGTTACTAGATTAAGATGTGAGTATCTGCATGGTGAAGGGAAAGACTTTATAAACGTAAATTTATTTTGCAAAGACATTTTATAATGTTTTATGTGTTAGATGGATACATGAAAAGGTTGCTTAGCCAGATAAACACAACACTAAGTTAATTTTTTTCGGATATATTTAGGTAAGGAAGCGTAGGCTATATGGAAGGGAACGATTGACTATTTTCAGAGTTATGGCTTAAGGTCATTTTGGGTAAGCCAGGTATATCTGTAACCCCTCAATCTCCCTAAGTTCATTTCCCGTTTCATTGGTTTCCGATTCCCGTTATAAAAGTGCAAATGGACTCATTCACAACAGATGGGATGTTTCCTCAAAATGTGATAGTATTTGTAGTGTCT